AGTTTGTGATTAAATTAATCACTTACAAAGGGTTAATACTAGTAGAGTTTATTGACCTTCCTTGGAAATGTAATAATATAAGTATCTTATAGAAAGGTATTTTAATTGAAACAAGTGCGACTTATTAATCACATACTGCAATACATACCCTTTTGGAAATAAATTATCGATACTAAGTTTATAATCGAACAAAATAACTCTTATTATCATATAATTTTTTTTTCCAAAAATGTATCATAGTTTGCTGTTCCGTTTGCTTTTTAGAAGTTGTCGTCAGCAAGAGGTTTTACGCCTTTTAAAGTTTTATGCAAGTTGCTTCATGAGATATAAAAGCAAGCTGAACCACTATTAAAGCCTCGACTTGTTTAAGCTATCGCGGAATATGCCTAAATAACCGGCATCATGAGCACACCTTAAATACACTCCATCACACAACACACTGAGTTAGGTATTACTTAGTTAAATTTGTTAGTTAGTTTAGTTAACTTGATTTTTTCCTTTCGTGAATGTTTGAACCTTTTGGATTCCATTTTTGACTTTTTCTATATCTTTAGTAGAATTGTTTTTTGTTATATATAATTAATGTATACTATAGGATTACAAAATACCTGTGCCTGCCAAATTTATAGCTGATTTCAGGACACTTTTTGAAGATTTTATTTTTTCGCCGGTAATCAAACCCAAGAGCAAGTAATATGCAATCAGAGTGTTTTGTAGATTATATTTAACATTATATAATATGTATATGATATTTTAACAATATTGGGATTCCAACTGAAATGCGTCACATATTTTTTTAAATAGCTCTATTTAGATAGTTAAGACAGCAATTAAAAAAGCCATTTGACTAATAGAGTAACATTAATAAAAAAATACGTCTTCATCACGTGTGTAGGACGGCTTAAGGACCCTATTAAATACAATGTTGCCAACTTCAAAAAATTCCCTATTTAAATAAAATACTCGCTCGGCCTTAAGATAAATTAATCTGTATTATTAAGGTCAAAAGTAACGTACATTGCAAATATTCATTTTTTAAATAAATTTTCCGTTTTGAAAAAACCAAACGCCTACATATAAAAAACGGCAACAGACGCAGAAATGTTGCTGTCCAATATCCACATTACATGAGCTTTCGTTATATTGAATACATTAAATATATGTATGTGACTTACAATAATTGTGTTCTTGAATGTACTATTTATAAATAAATAGGGTAAATATTTTGCCTGTTGCAACACTGAAGTTATTACTTATGCTATTCCTGTCAATAATACGTGGAAATAAAGTACAAAATAAAATATTAAGTCACTATTTGATTGAATGTTGGCCCCTTTATGAGGCGCTCAACGCAGGTAGCGAGTATAAACTTAGTTGGACCCCTATTAAGGTTTAGGGATCCTTACTGTTTTATGAAGGTGCAGTATTTTAGACATAACATTTATTACTAACAAAAACACACACACAGAAACACACAAAATAACAATAATCAAAGAATAAAATATAATAAGATACCTAAAAAAAAAAAGTTTTTTTTCCTTTTCCCATTCGGTTCGTTTCAAATGTGTAATGGGTGAGTGCTGTGGTTGTAATTGGCCTTGGCTCAGCATTACGCCGAGGAGCAGAATGTCACAGTCACAGCGCTGGTCATTCTGCCAGATACCACAGCAGCTAGTTTTAATGGTAAAGATCACCTAATCTAATCTATAATCAATCGACAGAACGTCAATTGATTATTCTTTATTCATAGTTAACAATTGCAGTAAAGTAAACCGATTTCGGTTTTTTCAATTGTCTTAGACTAAATTTTGACATCATGTCCCAGATATAGAGCATCTACTTGCCAATTAGAAATACAGAAATCTGAGATCCAGACCCCAAAAGGTTGTAGCGCCAGTGGTTTACCTTTACATTAAGATTTTCCTGGAATAATAAATTATTTTTTGAAAGTACGTTAGACGTAAAAAGATTACTGAATAATTATTCCTAGATGGTAATGTATAGGTGTATTAATATAATATAAGGTGACTACAGAACCCATGTCATTATGTTTCTTATTCAACTTTTATTGAGCAAAATAAAACAGTCATTAGAGACATCGAACCCACTCACTGCTGCGACTCACTTAACCATAATTACGTTTGTCGTTAAACGATTTTATTATTATTAGTCGATCCATAATACTTTGTTATTGTTCTGACGTGTGGAGTAGCTTAAAGCTCATTCCAGGCAATACCTAATACGTTGTATAAATAAAATTAGCAAAGCTTTTAATTCCTTACTTTACACTAACTCTTACTTAACTAAGATTTAGTATATATCTAATATATAAAATTCTCGTGTCACAATGTTCGTTCCCATACTCCTCCGAAACGGCTCGACCGATTCTTATGAAAATTTTGAATATTCAGTACCACATTAAGAGATGCAAAACATTGCAATTCGATTTAGGGTCCTTCAAGAAAAGAGCTCACCAATTCTTAAAAGGCCGGCAACGCAATCGCGACCCCTCATTGAGAGGGGTGGTATCACTGAAAATCAGGTAGGTAAGCCTATTGCCCGTTTGCCCCCCGTTCTATAAAAAATCGTTTAAATTATGTTTTTTTGAAAAACTTCACTGTCTATTAAGTAAGTACTACTAAAGATGTATTCTGTCACTTATGTATTTTAATGTTATTGAAGGCAAAATGTAATGTTGAGAATGTAAGTTCATGGTATTCGAACTTCAAACGAACGTGTTTTATGCTGATTACGGCTTGATACTCTCTAGGGGGTTGATGATGGATGGCAAATACTTTGTCATTGCGAGACAAAGCTAATGTTTTGAGTGCTTTGTTTTATATGCTCTTTATATTTAGACGTATAATAATCATGATTGAAAAATGATAAAATTACTAATACTATCGATAAATTAGTTATCAAATATAATTAATAGCAATAGATAAACGAAGATAAAAGTGAATTATGGTCGTCCATGCGTCCATAAGAAAAAGATACAATTTTATAATTATCTCATTACTATCGCAAGTAATAAAAAAACAAACAAACCCACACAATAAAGGACCAATTAAACCCCCTAAATCAGGCGACCCCAATCTGTTTTAAAAATTCAACACGCGGCTCCTTAGCTACGATTCTGATGAAAAGAATAAAGGCATAATTATGCATATTCACAGAACACATAAATATAAGGTTTATGGGTAGTCGAAAATAATATAAATAAATAAGTCGGTAATTAAGAATTTAATAAGTTCATCATAGACGTACTTAGGATAAGATTCAGAGTACAATTTTTGTAAGTATTACTTCCGTATGTCAAAAACGCATTAATTTTTTCCAATAATATATTTTATAGTGGAATCCAGGTGTAGGTATTTTTGTGTAATTCTATCGCATTAGTGATAAATTTAAAGATAAAATAACTGTGAGAATAAATAAATAAAGTTTCGGCTCATATCACCAATAAGTCAGTTTTGCTTTTTGTTTGTTTTGTTGCGATTTGGAAGTTTAAAGATTCAATCGGAAACTAAAATATTTCTTCAGTATACCCTTTATTTAGTAGTTCCCGGTATTAGATTTTATAGCTACGTTGCACTGTTTTTGTTAATCATGTAATAGACAACTCTGAGTACGTTGGTTTAGCACCAATATGCTCTTGAAAACGGCCTAAAAAATTAAACATTTTCGTAAATCACTATTATTTGTTATCTTTAAGATAAGACGTGCTCCACTTCGGTATTAAAAAGTTTCACATATTCATTTCAATAATACATTTATTGTACTAAATTCAACTAATAGAAAATTTACAATCAAGCTAATATGTAACTGTATACAATTACTTATTACAAAAATCGCTGTTACTAGCTTCAATGTATTCTACCACTTAAAATCACGCCTTGTGAAGAGAAAAATAAACGTTTGAATCCTCCCTACTCAAAATAGCTTTAGCTGTCTCCTCAATTAATTAGAGACAATTAGCAGGGGTTTCGCGACAAAAGGTAGAAAAACTCCGGCCATTAATTACGACGGGGTGGTTAACACCCCTTTTATTTTTCGAGTTACCGCCTGAATAGCCGTGGTTTGAAAAGATTAGACAAGAGTTCATAATTTCGCTTCAGGAATCATTAATTTGGATAAACAATGGGCAGGCTTTTTGCTCCTTATCCCAAAAACAAAGTTTTTAATGGATTGCAAAAATACTCCAATTGTTATTTACCTATCTACTATCTACCAGAAGGCTAGAAGTGCGTTTTAGGAGTCTGCACTTTTTTTTTGGGTAAAACCCTAAGAATTCTTTCATGTGGAACAAGGTGTAATGGTTACAGCTCCTTACAGTTATTTTGTAAAACAAAAAACTTGGCGATTAAAAAGAGTGGCGGAGAGTTTATTGCCAGTTCTTCTCGTCCGTTCTACGCCCTTGATTTGAGAACTGGCAGTAAATATAAAATCAGAAGTATTTAATATGTATTTCTTTATTGATGATAAGTGTACATTGTGTTACCTAAATGAATAAATGATTTAGAATTTTTCGAATTAGTTCGGAAATACTTTAATTTCACTCATTTGCTTGTCTATAGTGCTCAAAGTTTTGTAAGAGTCATCACCACACACAATAGAAAACCCTAAGTCACCTATATCAATATCAAAATCCTATCAACAAAATAATACCATTAAAATGTCCCTTGATGAAAGCACATCGATTTAATCAGGAAGCTTTCAATGATCGACTCGTTTTATTGCAGCCACTTCACTACCTAGTGTCCTAATCCACAATGAAAGCAAAAACACTTCGGGGATATACCCATTGCACAAACGTACACATTCGATAATGCCCCATAATATCAAAGTCTAATAGCCCATAATCGCGTGATATGATTTCGTAAATACACCTGTGCTCAAATTATCGCGTTTAGCCAGATTAACTCCATTAAATAAGCTATCAATTAATAGTATCTAAACCTGATAAGTGATTTCGGCATTACACCACAAGTCAACACAAAATGTGCGCGTGTCGACAGAAAAAGTCTTCCTTCTTCATAAAAGATATTCTATGTACAGATAAGAAAGTTAATGATAACGGCGATACAAGCAAAGATGTTCACACAAATACCAATGTTCGGACGGGAGTCGCGGAATTAGATATTGAACACAGAAGAAACCCATTTCCTGTGTATCCCACGCCGATTAAACCAAATTATGGCTGGCCATACAAATTGAAGAGCTTTGAAAGACAACCTGCTGTATATAGCGAACCGATGTTCAATTCAAACCTCTTGCGCGGTCAGTTATCTTGGAACAGGTTCGCGACGCCGCGGCCGGCGTCATTTAGCTTACGACTGCCTTACAACTTTGAAAGAGGTATGACAAATATTTGTTATAAAATTTAAAAAAAAAACAGTGATATTTAAAGAGATTGTCGTAAAGAATAATTATATAGTTTATTATTATTAATTATATTATTAATTATTAGTTTAGCCACAGCCGTGGCTGAGACAGCCTTGAAAAAAGAGAAATATTTTCATGAAAATTTAATTTAATTAGCTTTATCGCAACTAAAACAGAGATAGGAAATATTAAAAATGGATATACACTAGTCTATACTTAATATTGCCTTGAATTCTACGCGAGTATTATACATGTATAAACTGGTGGCTCCGTGCTGTCTCGATAAATTTTAAATTAAACATTAATTAGTATATCATTTTAATAACTTCACTTGGCACGAGTGTCGATAACAGATTCCTTCCTATCACTAGGTACAAAGAAATTATAATTCTAATGTACCCACAGAAGATTTTTGTATTCGGGAGTACTCGATTTTTTGTAATATTTTGAAATGTATTCAATTAAATAGTTTAAAATTTTTGCAAATATGAAAACCTTTAAATATATGAAAACTACTACTGTTTCTAGGGTTAAGATCACCCATTTCATAGAAAACGTCACTGGTAACTTCCGAGGTAACAAATAATGAATAATGCAACCCTTCTGAATTCAGCCAGAGTGCAATTAAATAGATCAGTTTCACATGCAATATCGAGAGCGCGCAAGAAGCGCGTAGATGGTGCTCTCCTAAGTAAATTTGTACGCGCGCGCGGCTCTTACTTACTTTTTATGTTATCCCGAAAATTAAATTCTACGTTTAAATGAAGTCTTTGACTTCTGCTACTCTTGGAATTAGCTGTTCCTCCATGTAATAATTATAGAGGATCGGTGACCGTGCTCTGGAAAATCGGTGTCAGTTGAATTTTCTTGCACCAACTTACATACAACCCGATCAATATCCTGCTGTAATCGTAGACAATCTCAAGCAGTATTTATCGGCAGTGATTATTTAAGATCGCGCGCGAATAGCAAACATTTTGCATCTTCTACGACTCCTGTTAGAAACAAAATCTCTCGTTTTAAAGATTTAATTCCAGCTTATTCAACGTACTGCTTCCTATCCGTCATGTGGCAAATATACCTTATGGCTGAAATTTTTCTTATCGTCTTCTATTTAGTCGGGCAGATAATCGGCGACTGGAAATTGAAGTTTCAACCCACAAAAAATTTAACGGCCCACCTATGGCAGACAGAGGTGCTCGAACAAACTTTGAAAAATTATGAGATCCTGAAATTTCTGGATCCGTAAGAGACTTTTAACATAAGTTGTAGAAAACTTTGAAAGGTAGTGTAAAAAATTCAAAATAGCCAAAAAAATTAAGGGCCACCAAATGCAATTAAATTCTAATATATGCAATGCATATGTTAAATTTAAATTTTTTACGAAATGCCCAACATTTGACTCGGAATATAATGGTGCGGAATCACCAAATGATATGTAGGAGTTCTTTTCCATTTGTGTCTTTAAATTTCGCCAGGGTGCTTGAGATAAAAATTGCAAAAGAAAATCCTCCATACATTTTCCATAGAACAAATAAAGCTCTTCAAGTTGAATTTCTTATTTTTACCATTTTCACTGCTTCCAGACCCCATCTTGCTGGCTGCGTGTAGCCCACGCACCTTTAACCTCATAAGAAAATAGGCGGGAACAGAAACCATTCAACTGAGAATTTGAGCACATTTTAACCTTGCACAAATACTGCAATTACGGAATTTATTCTTTTACAAGAAATATGATGTATTTACTAGATTCCTAGTGAATGCATTATCAAACCCCTATCTCGCAGGCCACGTGTGGTCCAACTAATGAGGATGTATCTGAGAACAGAAAGTGTTGGACTATGTATTTGAAAGCATTATAACATTTAAGAGGTATTGCCATTGCGGAATTCCCTTCCTTCTTGGGTATATTATCTATTTCCTTAACTCATAGTGTATATGACATCAAACCCTTTAGCCCCAACTCGAGGGCCGTGCGATCCAGACCGACTCGCAACCACTACATAAGTTATTTGTAGGAATTATTACAATTTACAACAACTAACAGGTATATTCGTTGCTATATTCTTATCTTTCCCTAGGGGATGTGACCTCTTCCTCAAATTCATAGGCAATGTGGCCTCTGACCCCTCCACTACACAGTCAATCCAATCAATCGTGCGGCCCAGCACCGCGCGCCCTCGACATAAGTAATTTGAACGAAAATTGTTCGTTTTCAACACCGACAACTTAGGACAAAGCTCAATCTACAATTTATCATGCAACACTTAGGCAATGACGAAGTATGAAAATAGTAGCCAACCCTATGCTACTATGACTAGTATTTGTCAAAAATTGTAAATAAAATAACAGCCTAAAATGGCCTGAAAACCATCGATTACTAGCGATAACGCTATCTTTTGCTTTAAATAGTTTATATTATCTGTGAATTAAATTGTTAAATTACAATAAATTCTCATATGCACTCGCATATTAAGAAATTAATTATGTACACTTATGCCTATAGAAAGAACTAGTGACCGGTACAGGTTTTTAATATTATGAATAACAAACAGTATATGTTACATACGTACAAATCTTTCCTCTTACACTGTGTTAAGTTTACGCATTTGGCTTATTAGGGCACATTTCATGCATGCTACACCGTCCTAGCTAGCGAGCTACATCCGTGTATGATATATTTTGTATCCAGGACAAGAACCTATGCCCTAGACCGTACCTAGCGATAAAAATTGTCGCCAAAAGTATTTGGCGTAATAATTACATATTTAATGAGTTCGAGACAGTATGTACGAGTATATTAAATAATAATTTAATTGTGATAAATAAAGGCGATATAATCCGGTTTTAAAGTTTTTTTTAAATCTACGAATTTTTCAAAACAAATAAGATAGCCGGCCATAAATGATTAAAAACCAATCCTATTACAGATAGTAATTATATCATTAAAGCAACGAATTGAAGCAACGAATTGAAGCAATCTTTATCGCTATCGAGGCACTGTGCAAATAAAAACAGCAAAATTTAATTTATCAAGACGTCTTTACGTTAAATATTTAAAAAAATTGATACATTATCATAATTTAGTATTTTAAAAGAGATTAATGTCTTGAAGTTGTCAATTACTCTGATTTATTATGTTACTCGTAAATTCAATTATAGATGCTTAAAGAATGTGTGAAAACAATTGGCAAAACCCATATAGGCTAGAAAATCAAAATATGAAAGTGAATTTTTTCAATAAAAAAAAATAATTTCTTTAAATTGACTGGCTATGCTAAAATCAAGAGCGTAGAACGGACGGGAGGATTTGGCAAAAAAATGTCCGTTTTTTTTAAATCGCCAAGTACATATTTCGTTTTACAAGATATAAGTAGCTGTAGCTATTCAAGCGAGGTGTCCCATATGACATGTAATTAATTCATAGCCTCCATCAGCAGTGGGCATAGCAAATTAGGAATACGCAAACATATATAATATTATATCACCTTGATAAACCTTTAATGATATCTAATATTATAATATAAAAATAATATGATATATTAATATCTAATACAGTGTAAAGTCTTTATAACGAATTTCAATTTTATTTTCGTTATAGAGAGTGTTCGTTATACGAAGCGAAGAGAGAAAAAAAAAATTAACCAATTACAATAGTTTCTAATTTTATTACTATCAAAAGGTTAATTATTCTAAACACATATATTCTGTTAACTTTGCCTGAAGTCTTTTGTTATGCCAATATTTGTTTTGTATTTTTTGAGTATTTTGTGTATGTCTTGGGATGTGGTGTAATCATCTTCAAGAAACAATAATAATTTTTCTACAACTATCTAATCTAAGAATAATAGCACACTTGTTAATGCCATTAACAATAACAAAGGCGAGAAGGCTTTTTATGACCTCAGGTTTTATTTCCCCTATTCTGGTAAAGTAAATTGTAAGTACATTCTCTTTAGTTTAAAATTTTGCAACAGCATTGCTGTAAAGAAACAATCTTACCACATATTCTTTACAATGCGGGTCAAAGGTCAACTCCACGAAATCAATCATTATTATTTTTGGTACGAAGTGCGGATTTCTGTTTGTTCATTTCAATTAAAAAAATACATAATATATTTTAAAACTGAATAAAAATAAATATTATTATTGTCTTTGGTTAACATAACTTTTATTCATTTAATAAAACACTATTTTGACCGGATTGAAGTTATGTATTATTATAAATGTTGTTAAATAGTTGTAAATTTATAATAATACATAACTTCAATCCGGTCAAAATAGTGTTTTATTAAATAAATATTATTACTATATAGGTTATAAAAATAGTATATTTTATTATGTTATGATTACTAATAAATAAATTTACACATTTTATGGATCAAGTAGATGTACGATGTATGGAAGATGTAGAAGTAGAGCTTACATTTTGTTACAAAATGTAAGCTACCTAGAGCGAGATATGTTTAGCTATTAATTATTTAGCCTTACATATAAATAGATTATAGATCGATAGTAGGTATGTATTATCGCTTATAACTCCAAATATCCATGAAGGCGGAACATAATTACTCATTTAATCATACAAATAAAAAAAGTAAAATTTGATAATAAAGCAATAAGCAAACAATTACACTTATCGAATTTCTACAATCAATCAGACCCGATAACTTTGCAATTGGAACAAGACAAAAATGTTTCGATAAAATTGTTTATCTCTGTCTTTAGATTGAGTGAATTTTTTGGAGACGTCCTCAGTTTATTATACTTATATCTTTATTATGTACTTTTACTCAATGAAACGTCGCTATTCTTACAAGAACTTGGAAGTACTAAAAGAGTGGGAACGTCAGGAACAAAAATAATGTTACTCAAAAAAGCGCTTTCCTCATGTGAATCAGCAACCTTCAAAAATCGTTTGTTCCAAAAAAAATAATTAATTAAACTTTTAAATGGCCCTTCTCATAATTCTATTTTAAATTTGAAAGGTGTCGAGTTGTATAATTCGAATAAAATCAATAGATAAATGTAGAAACCTTGACATGACGTTATAGTGAATAACATGCCAAATTCAAATTAATCTAGTTTAATCGAGCAATTCGATTAATTAAAATGCTAAGTGATAATTATTTTATTATCAAATTATCTTTTTTATTATATTTTATGAGTAGTGTTGGTCTCATCATACAGAAATTCCAAAATGGGTAAATTTCATATTTTTTTATATCTAACATACCTACATTCTGGAATAATCAAACATTAACAAGATAATCTATTAATATAAACGTTAGAGACATTTTTTGATAAGAAAAAAAAATATAATACTTAACACAGATATAGTATGCAATTGGATAATAATTTTATAAAAAATAATAAGTAAAATTACTTCATTAATTTAAAATAAATATTAACAAAGTATACGTGTCCTTCCTTGAGTCACGAAACTAAAATCTTGGGCATGCTAAGGCAAGATCTAAGCATGGAGAGCAATGATGCAGGGCGGTACTAGAGCGAGCATACAACTTTGCTCAAAAAATTTAAACTATAAGCAAAAATAGTAGTTTTATTAAAGCTATTAAATTTTACTTCAATCCCTCTCGTAGCCGGCTTAACAATCGCATACATCTATCCAAAATCAGAACCGAAAACGGTCGGAGACTTCACAACAGTTTGCCTCATGAGACGGGAACTTGTAGCAGTAAACCCGATTCTGAAATCTGAATACGCTTGCAAAGGTTTTTGGTAGATGCACTTTATTGCAGTAATAGGAAAGCGATGATATGTTTTAAATTTTCATGTTAATAATATTTTTTTAATTTTCATGTAAGTAACATATGTTTATAATGAGATACTTCATTAAACCTAGGTTTAATGCAATAGCTTGTCGATAGTGGCTCACTTATATACAAAAAATTTTTTTTTTTGCATTAAACTAAAACACCTAAACCAATTATGTGTAAGGAATGATGTCTTTTCATAGCAAACATTTCTTTCCAAGTTTTGGTATCAAAAAATGACGGTTCAATTGCGATTTTGATCCGATCAAGTTCGATCCGTTGCGTAGTGGATCATACTATTGAAGTGAAACTTCTTTATCGAGGTTGGAAAAAAATGTAGTGTAACATTTTTTCGTTACGCGTCACATTTTTCGGTTACGCGCCATGTTGCTTTTTGAAGTCAAACTTCTTTATCGGCGTTGGAATGAAACTTCTTTATCGACGTATGGGAGAAATTTTGTAGCAAATCGTCACGTTTTTCAATGATAGTAATAATTCTATTACAATTAATGAAATTCTGTAATAATCTTCGTAGTAATAAGGTAAAATGAAATATTTGTATTCATGTCTATGATAATAAAAGCCTTTTGTTAAACTTTATCTAATTTAACGAATTTCTGTAAAGTTGCATATAGTAGATCATTTTTCGAAAAATAAGATCATAAAGAAGTTTCACTTCTTACGTGTGTACACCTAGTACACGCACAATTTATTTAGTTCGATTTTGGGCGAAATAATTAATTCGAGTTTATGTCAATTTGTGAAACAGGTGCTTTCGGTCTGTATCTATCCCAACATCTTTACTAAACATACGATTCCGTTGACAGCGTCATGCTGCAGTCCTTGGTGGGGTATGGGAGGAAGAAGAAAAGGGGGGCAGGTGAGATTTAGCGCTGCGCAAACGGGTGCTCTTGAACGGAGGTTTAGTGCTAGTAAATACCTGAGTCCTGATGAGAGAAGAGCATTGGCATCATCGCTAAGACTAAGCGACAGACAAGTAAGAGAATATTAAGTTTTATCATAGACGAATAGCTTATTATCGCTTGAACATCTCATTCTTTTACCTAAGCTGGAATACATATTGTTATTGTAAAAGATATAAGTTCAGTCAGGTCTCATCAGACTCAAATAGGCTTTAGCTACCGTAAAATGCGACCTTAATGATACGACAAAGTGGTTTTTTTTTTTAAGTTTACCAACATTAACATTAATGGTCTTATTCATAGTTTAAGTTTTGTCACGATTGTTTTTAATCAGAGTTGCACGAGAAGAACAAGGACAAAAATTAAATAGCTATTTAAAGTTTTAGAAATCAAGAGGTTAATAGTAAAATATTTTGTTTATAATATACACGTCCCTATAGCAAGAACTATATTATGTAGACAAAATTCATACCTATTGCGAGCATGTCGTTCTTTTAATGTGGCATGTTGGGAGGTCGATTTGGATTTATTCTGCACTAGTGTTACTAGAATGAAGAAAGCCCTATGTGATCAATACTTTGAATGATTAAGATTTTATTGTAGCTGCCTTGAGAGTTTTTTGAGCATTAGTATGTAAAGATGTAATAATACCTACATGTGGAAACTGATAATTGCCCTTCATCATATTAATTATATAATATTGAACCTTTTTTAGCTGTAAGTATCCCTAAAATCTTTATATATATAATTCTTCTGTGAGTGTGTCACTGAACTTCTCTCAAACGACTGGACCGATTTTGATGAAATTTTTTGTGTGTGTTCAAGGGGATCTGGGAATGGTTTAGATTCACAAATAAGCCCGGCAGATGGCACTGCAGTCGGTACTTTCATACTTTGCTTAATATCCTAATCGCTTTAAATATCATGCAGGACAACGTCTGTGGGGTTCACTAGTTGTAAAATAAAAATAAAATAAATTGTTTTTACTGCAGGTTAAAACGTGGTTTCAAAATCGACGTGCTAAGTGGCGTAGGACCACATCAGAATGTTCAGACCCCGGCAGCCCTAGCAGTGCCAATGAGGAATCTGATGATGATGTACTCATTTCTGATCCTTGACATCAAGATTTATCTTCTTCTTCAGTCGCACTCTTCATTTCTGAAGGTCTTGTTAGTGGAGCTGCACAACTTCGTCCACTCTTCCCTGTCTTCGGCAAGATTGATACTATACCCTAAAGTATTTCACGATTCCATTAGCGACCAATTAGGTTTTAAAAACTGTTACATAATAAGAGTTATCAGAAAGAGAGAGAGAGAGAGCATAGAATTACAAGATTATGTACTTTTAATTCAGTTATGTACAGTGGCGGATTAACATATTTTCAAGGTATAGGCTGTGAAGTTTTTGCCGCCCTTGACTCGACAATTGTCAGGTCCTAGATTATTTTTAGAATTCAACAATTTCTTTGAAATTTCACGGTAAATAAATTTTGGGTTTGATTTTTGAGTAAAAAATTATACACAAACCATCCAGTTCGCAGTCTCCCACCAGTAGTAGGATTGACATGTATAGGTTGTTAGGGGGAAGAGGGAAATACACTTTCTGCAATTTCGTTCTGTAAAACATCCAAAATACATCATGCAGAAATCTTTTTGATTCGATTTCCAAATTTGACGCCCTAGACTTCAGCCTACTGCTCAGTCTGCTGGTAAGTCCGCCACTGGTTATGTAATAGTTTCATACACATAAGTCTTACACCATAGAAATTGCTTAATATTGTTATTATAAATGTTCGAATTAATTTCAAAAGTTTCAGAAGGTTAAATATAATTTCATACGAAATTGTGAGAAAAATAAATTGTGAAAAGTACATCTAGTCAAAAGAAGTGAAAGTCAAAAACTGTTTTTAGTTAATCGATATTGTTTAAGTGTATTTTAAATAGTTACTTAACAATCCAATCTTCTCAGTCATATCTACCTTAGTTTTAAGTCTACAGCCACATGTGGGGCTAAGTACAATAATACTTAGAATAAAAAATATTTTCCTTTCGTGTATTATTTATGTTTATATTGCATACTTGACAAGCTTTACCATATCATATCTGATATGGTAATTGGCTTGGCATACCTGACAAGCTTTATAGACCACAAGCCCATGAACAAAAAATACCTGTGAAATGACCCAACGTGAATTACGCTTAGAAGGCTGTTACTATATCTGAAAATAGCTCTGAGCACTATGCCGTCATTTCTGAGCGGTACATGTGAGTACGTGAGTGAATGGACTTTCTCAGGTACAATGGGGGAATTTCGACTAATTATTAATGTACGGCTTTGTTATAAGTGTATAGATGATTAAAAATAAATGTCGAAAAACCTAGTGCCGTACAAAAGTGATGGTACCGGAAGTCGGTGCAAATTTTTAATTCGACGACAGTTGCAGAAGCAATAAAGGTCATTTATTACTGTACGGCATTTGTGTGATTCCTTTTAGACACATATACAGATACTTTACCCGTAAACGCCGTACATATTCCCAGCGGAGCGGTCGAAAGCCAAGGGTCGCAACATATGTCTGATTAGCATATAGGTGATGATGATATGAAACAACATAAAATTAAATGATCTTGAGAGTACTTCACAAATAGATAACATTTTCCAGCATGCCGTACATTTTTTGTGGAACACATAGGTGTATGGGGCAAATTACTTTTCTCAGAAAAGAGTCATTTTCCGGTGACTTTTATCTGTACGGCAATAACACAGGTTATTAATACTTTAGACAATCTTCAATAAAAGATAAATGCCGTACACTTTCGATAGTCCGCTACCACCGCCTACCAATACAGGGCGTCCCAAAGTTATGGGAAATGAAGGGAAAGTACCTTAAATATCGTAGATAGGGTATTTTACTAAAAGAAGACTTTATGTTATTTTTAAAAGTTATTAATTCTGCATTCAAAGATTTTTAAAAAATTACTTGCTTCGTCTGGGAATCGAACCGACTTAAATGTAAAAAAACACCCCTACTTTTATGATGCCAATCGAAAGAATGGCCAAAAACTAATAACTCTTCTTAAGTAACATAGTATTTTAAAAGAAAGGAACAGCGTGAATATATCTTTTAATCAAATTAAAAACATTATCTATCGTATTCGGCCAAAAAAAATCCCCTACGAGTCTGTTACTTTAGAAAAGTTATTAGGTTTTGGCCATTCTTTCGATTGGCATCATAAAAGTAGGGGTGTTTTTTTTTAAATTTAAGCCGGTTCGATTTCCAGACGAGGCAAGTAGTTTTAAAAAAATCTTTGAATGCAGAATTACTAACTTTAAAAATAACATAAAGTCTTCTTTTAGTAAAATACCTAATCTGCGATATTTAAGGTACTTTCCCTTCATGTCTCATAACTTTGGGACGCCCTGTATTATATTTCTATTTTTGTTAAAAATATTTTTCCTTTACCTCTCTCTGGTGGTACGATAAGGCTGTAAATATACTTTACAGCCTTATGGTAGTATACTCAGATATGTACAGTTATTAATGACCTTAAGGGACACCTCAAACGTCGTCGAAGTTTTCATCAGCTGTAAAGAATAATCTGGAGTAAAATGTACGGCATCTGGTTTTTTTGTTTATTTATATTTGTTACATATAACATAACATTAATCTTTGAAAATATTACTCCCCATATTACTCTAGGAGCATTTGAAAAGTCATCTAAATTTCGGAAATTTCATATATTTTTTATCATAATATTTTTATTTGTTACCATTTAAAATGAACGGCTATAAGGTACAACGGTAATATTTAGTAACATTATGTAAAAAACAAGTTGCCGTACATTATTCTCTCATCTTACAGCAGCAAGAACTTGGTAAATCCTGAAATTTCGATAAATATTTAATTACACAAATATTAACTATAATATTTGGACGGCATAATTATAAAACATTATTGTCCGTGTTAAATAATATTTTGAACATGTTGCCGTACATTTTACAATGACCTTAGGGTATATGGGTGTAGGGGTAGGGTTCCGACCCTTGGCTTTCGACCGTTCCCCTGGAAATATGTACGGCGTTTACGGGTAAAGTATCTGTATATGTGTCCAAAAGGAATCACACAAATGCCGTACAGTAATAAATGACCTATATTGCTTCTGCAACTGTCGTCGAATTAAAAATTTGCACCGACTTCCGGTACCATCACTTTTGTACGGCACTAGGTTTTTCGACATTTATTTTTAATCATCTATACACTTATAACAAAGCCGTACATTAATAATTAGTCGAAATTCCCCCATTGTACCTGAGAAAGTCCATTCACTCACGTACTCACATGTACCGCTCAGAAATGACGGCATAGTGCTCAGAGCTATTTTCAGATATAGTAACAGCCTTCTAAGCGTAATTCATGTTGGGTCATTTCACAGGTATTTTTTGTTCATGGGCTTGTGGTCTATTAGCATATCTGTTAGCAATAATTGTTTTTGAGGATAGGCATTTCTGCATATAATAATTGGTTTGTTTTTTTAATAAAAATAAATTGTTTATTTGCTAAGAAAGTGGTTAACACATTGAAATAAAGTTCTTTTACGCGAAGAACATTAATAACAAGATGAACACTATTCGAATATTTTAATATCCATAAAATTAATATTTATTATATTGATGAAAGCAATAATTGTTATAGCACCATATTAATTTTAGTAAGTAGTTGTTAAGACCATGCATTCGAATCCCTACTTACTGTGAATCCATTTCGCCTTTAACACTGGATTTTACAGTGAAGAAAAATATAATCTGGAAATGTATTCGAATCAAAAACGACAATCACCCAATCTGCTTAGTGCTTAGCCAGCATCAAAAGCCATGGTGAACATTGGTGTATAAATGAAGAGCCGTCGTTATTTATTCAAATGTCTTCGGCCTTAGAATAAATCGTAGTCGTTATTAATAACGTGGAAATAATGTTTACACGTTCACAACCGAATTACATCAGCTTATCATCAATATTTGTAATATTTTTATTATATGTATAGATTTATTGAAGCGTTTAAAAATACGAACTTATCAGCTAATAACTATTAATTGAAGATAGTCTGATAAGCGATAGGTATTGAAAAGACGTCAGTGGAATAATCAAAGATTATTTTACGATTTCAATCGGTACGGATTAACTTGTTAATATCAATGTAATATTATTTTTAGATGGCAAATAGGTACAGCGAAGATAAAGTTACGATTCTAAATTCAAGTTTTATAAACTAATAAAATTGCCAAAGAAACTAATGTTCTTAATTCAAATTATCACTAACTCCTATTAACAGTCCTATGTATTTCTGTCTCCGAAATAAATGTTTAATTCAAATGTTATTTCATTCATTCATATAGGTATATCTACTTCTATAAAAGTACCCTTAAAAACGTCCATATTAAAAAAAATACATAAATAATTATAAAAATTATCCTTCCCAAAAGAACTCTCCAGTAATTCAGTAATTTATTATAAAAAAATCATTTATCAGCATGTGAACAGCATCAGTACTATTAACGGTTAGTTAAGCTTAACACTTTGATAAATCTATTAAGTAAATTTTAATAAGTTCACCAAAGAAATAATAAGCTTCAGGCGTTTAAGGCCTATGATCCTATGGTAAATTAGTCGATTATCAATTATCTAATTGTATAACTATTTTGCACAGCTCATCGATTTCTAGGTTCATTAATTAATTTAGATGTAATTTACAACTCTTAGTTACGTATTTAGGTTTTTGTAAAAAAAATGCGTAGAACCTTTCGTAATAGAAACTAAAAACGACTATGGATTTTTGTATCGTAATAAATATTGAAATGTACACTTGTCAATATTAAAAAAGGAAATTTACATTTACCACATTACACTATATAATAAACCTATATTAACTTTAAATTCTAATAATTAAACAAAAATCATTTCCAAAAACAGTTTATTAATAACCATGAAAGTAAATAAAATGTCATTTCTGCTCTTATAATGTTATAGATTCACTAACATAGACATCCAACTACATTCTAATAGTAATTATTTACAATAGTTTATTTTTATATTAGACCTTTTTTTAGAAAAACAAATGTAAATAGATTTCTTGTTTATTTATAAAATCATAATTTTTTTATTTGCTTCAGTTCAACAAAGCTATATTTTTATTAGTAGTAGGTTTCTAATGTTTTCGCATTTTAAAACCATCAATTCATTTAATTGAATACAACCATAAAACCTGTTGCCAGGCAAAACTAAGAAAATAACCACATTAATGCATGATTCATACAAAATGAAGTTTAAATTTCTTCTTATTTCTGCCTCCTATTTGTAGTGCAATTTGTTTTGTCAAACATGCATGTACTAATTGACATATAACTCTATACTAGATTAAAAGTCTGCCATAACATTGATTTACCAGTCAAATACATCGGAATTAGCACACTAACTTCATGGGTACAAAACTATAAAACAGATATATAGTTTCCATTCACAAACAAAAATAACCCTTTTAACAATTTTTTTTATGAAAACCATTAGTTAATTTTTAAACAACCATAATTAATGTATTTTACTCTGCCTTTTTGTAAGAACCTCTCGAACGCCAGGCAGTCAAAAGATTGTAGGAAAAATACAGTTGAAAGAAATGGACTTGTGATCCAAGGAGTACAAATGCATACCAGAGCAAGCCATATGGGTAACCCTGAAATAGAAAAGGCATTATTAATATTATCTTTGAAAACTCCAAATGGGGCATGATAAAACATTTCTGTATCTGCTTCATTATTATTTAAGGCACTAGCCTTACTAAATAGGCAATTACTAAATTGAGAAGATCTTAAACCCAGACCTTTAGGCTGTATGTTATGTTAACTATGAAACCACATGAAGTTGTTAACTTTCATACAATCCTACTCAGATCAGATTTTGAGGAGAGTTTAGTCTATTGTATTGCTATTATACTTAATTCTAACATATAGTCTATACATATACTAGAATAATAATTTCATCATATAAATAAATGGATGTTGTGTTGTAGACATAAAACTTTTTAAAGTTTTGTTCTTAGATTAATACTTTAATGGTTTGTGATTTTACTTGAGCGAAATGTCACCAAGGTAATTATTATTTCATTATATTAGTTTTTCCTTTATTATATTGTCAAATACAGGCACAAATATTAAATTATTAGTACATATACCAGATGTGGTGATGTAATAGTATAGTGGTTGAATATTATGTATTATGTAAAATGTAGTGATTTAAAAAATGCTAATTATTTTACGAAATACATGCCTGCCATAACATAATTTCTTCTTCCTCATCATCCTCAGCTGTCAAATATAGCCAAACATCTCCACAGTAGTGTAGTACGCAGTAAAGTAGTGGTAGAAGACCAAGCCCTGCGATACCATACATGTATCTGCGAAGGAACTTAATGTTGTTCCGCTTAATTGCTGATAAGCCCAAGAAAGACAATGCCACAGATAGACACCAGATGTACTCCCACCAGAGTGGCTGGAACATTTAATAAATTTATTATAGCTTATATAATTTTAATTGAAAAAAATAATTAATTAAATAATTTAAATCTTCAATAAATTTTAAAAATATTGATAGGAAATTAACTAACAATAATGAATATACCTATTCTTAGTGAAGTGTTGTAATAAAATAGAAACAGATATTATAGGCTTTTTGTGTACCTGTGGAATTTGTAGTTCTTCAATCTCCAATATAAATATGTCTAATTTGTCCAAAATATCTGCAGATAGTTTTGCCAGCATTGCCAGGAATAACACATGGTGGAAGAATACACAGTACTTTAAACGAGACTTGTTTAATGCGCTGAAATAAGATAATGCTAATATTATGTAAAGTTTGTTAGTAAACATTATCAGTAAAAAATTGGTAATTCAAGGACCTTTTAAATTTATTTGAAGAACTTGGACAGTGTTTTCCTACCTCAAAAGGTACCAAACCATTATTTATATTGTAAACGTATAGGCATTCAAACAAACAGGTATTTAAATTAATGGCGCGAAACACTGACCCTAGCTTTTATCTAAAAATAATTTGACGGAACTTGACGATGTGTGTGATGTGAGATGTCAAATTAACCATGGTCGTTAGCCGAGTAGACACATAAAAATAATCCCAATGCTCACCTAATTTGATACTGAGCCGCTATTTTCTCCCTGTGCTGAAAATCAGCACCGTTTGTACCAGTTACCATAACTCCACCTCTTGAAGCCATTTCTGTAATATAACTTGTGCTTTTGTTTACTCTAAAGTCAGTTTCCCACTCCCAACTCAACAACTTTATTCATTCATTCAGATAACTTCGTATTTTTATTCCAAATTTTATTCAATCCATTATTTCACATCTGCCAAAATAAATCTGATCGTAATCGGCAATTGCTAATGTGTTGGCAAATCAAATGCCAACTTGACATTCCAATGACCATTCAATTCCTTGACATGCCAGCGTTTTGAAGGTTGGCACGATCGGATAGCTGTACTAATTTTTTTATATGAAAATGCAAGACCATTTAACTTATTTTGTAATAATAATTTAAAAAAACGAAAGATCTGGGGGGTGTATCTGTATTAATTTTACAATCAGTAATCAATGCTATCATTTTAGAGTTAGCTATAATATTAAATGGATTTATAGATTGTGGAGTCTTTCCAGACCAAATGAAGCTAAGTAAAACGGTGTGACCGTTATTCAAAACGGGAAGCGCTTCTGACCCCACCAATTTTAGATTTTTAGACCCATATCTGTGCTGCCTGCATTGAGTAAAATTTTTGAAAAAAATATTCTTGACAATTATTGATACACTTTAATAATAATAAACTTATGCATGCAGTTTTACAAGAGGTCTCTCCATAACCGATGCTGGAATTAAATTAATTTCCGAGATTTTTAATGCTTGGGGAAATTCTCATGGTGCCATTGGAGTTTTTTGCGATTTTCAATGGCTTTTGACTGTGTCCATCACGAAATCCTAATAAAAAAACTTCAACGCTATGGCATTGGCGAAATAGCGCTAATTCTTATGGAATAATACCTGAGCGATAGTATTGAAAAGGTAAATGTATCACAGGGATCGTCTGTTACTATAGGTGTACCGCAAGGCTTCATACTTGGTCTCTTCTTATTCCTCGTCTATATAAATGACCTACCATTTCTTCACAAGCCAGCCACAAGGCTGCATAAAATGAGTGATTCAAGGCAATTGTATACGTTTATTCAACAAAATCCCTAGTGAGATACAATAATTGTTGTCAATAAATAAATTTAAATCGTACATTAAAGTAAAACTGCTTGCTAAGGCCTATTATAGGCTCCAGTATAAAGAGGTAACGCGACTTAATCTCTCGGCTGCATTTCCAGACTCTGGGGCGATCGTCAACATCCACGACTGTTTTAATGTAAAGTGGGAACAAACCGTGTTCCATGTGGTATCAAATTATTTCAGTATAATTAGTATTATTATTTTCTTATGTAGCCAAGTTCACATTTCAAGGATCGTCATGCTCGCTTAAATGTCATTGCTTGTGGTGGCGTCCATGCGTCGGGTTGTCGCTCCCCCTAAAATATAGCGAGGGGGCCGATAGCTGACCATGCGTCATAATCGTGAACGGGTGCTACTTGTGGTAACTGATCTTACTTGAATACGTGTATGCGGTGATATTAGTTATTTCGACTATGTATTTGCGTGTTGTTCCTACGAGAATGTAAGTGCTACTATTTCACCACGCCTCCTGCTGATAGAGGACAAATCTTTGTTTTTAATTTATTTTATTATTTAAGATGTCGTGTGGAACATGGTGTAATGGTTGCAGCTCCTTAAAAACGTTGTGTAAAAACTTGGCGATTTAAAAGAGAGGTGGAGAGTTTATTGCCAGTTCTTCTCTTTCGTTCTACGCCCTTGATTGGAGAACTTGCAGTAAATGTAAAATTAGAAGCATTTAAAGGATATTTCTTTTTTGACGTTCATAAGTGTACCTACATTGTGTTACCTATATGAATAAATGATTTCTGGCTTGACTTGACTTGTTATAATGATAATAGTCTTTTTAATGCTTATGTTTTTATACAGTTTACATTACAGTAATGCTCACTAGATGTCGGATTTAAGCTTTCAACTTTTGCCCACTTTACCTAGCCACACATTTTTGCGTTATGTGAACGTGTTTTATTTTAATTTTACTAACTTAACAAAATTAGTTTTTTTTCTAGATTTTCTGCCAAACGTAATATAATACTGTAATATATTATACTAAATCATATTAATTGTGACAGATATAAATAGTGTATCACCAAGGTGCAATAGAAAGTATGCACGTTTTCATAGGGACTGCCATCGATTATTTATTAGTAATTTAAAAGCTGATATTAGGTCTCATAATATACCAATTAATTATAATCTAACACAGGCTTCATTTATAATTATACATTTTGATATCACTTTGCATTGTTAATTATTACTGCAACAAAACAGGCAATTACTCCGATAAGGTCTTATCAAAGCATTGTTAATACCTATTATGACTTTTTTATTTTTTGTGGGCGAACTGTTATAAATTGGCTTTGATTCGAAAAAATTATATTGGCCTACCGATACCAGCCCAACTACAATGAAAAGTTTTCTATTATTCACAGTTTGTGCTTTAATAACTCTACAGGTAATTTAATTGATTAACTCAGATTGAGTTTAAAAATATATCACCTAATAAAAAACAAAATTCAATATTATATGTAACATAATTCTAATTCACTATTATACTTTTTCAGCTATGCGTTTGTTCCCATAAGAAAATAAAGACAACAACCGAGGCGGCAGAAAGTACAACACAAGAAGCAACTGTCACTAACCCTATGACGGATGCGACGCCAAATGTCGAGGTTGTACCTTGATTTAATTAGCTATAAATATTTAAACACCCGGTAACAATAAACACTTATTTTAGACGCTCTATTTAGGGGAAACAATTTCCAAGAACCGGAAATTGAAGCCTTTCCCAGTTCAATGGACTATTATTATATAATTATTTTTCAACTCGAACCAGTAGGTCCTGAAATTACCGTGTGCAATAAAACTATTATGGTTTACTATATTATTATTATAGTATAGACATAGAATAAAGTTTCTTTTTATTTTAAGTCTGTATCATCATCAAGTCTTAGATAAACTAAGTTAATACTGATTTTATTTTATAGGTTAAATCTGAAGCTGTACCCGCAAGCCCACAGGTCACCGATACAGTTACGTAAACTTAGTAATTTCGAATGTGATGCAACAATGTAAAGTGACTTGAATAAAAAAGACCATACGATGCTTACTTTTCCTACTCTTTTGTACATTCCATATTGTGAGATAAGACTATCTATTGGTTAAGCTTTGAGGATGCCAAAAACAAAGACATTAAAGTAGGCCTGTAAGCATATTACACACATGACACACTTATCAGGAACATACACATACATAGCTCGAGACAATATCTCTTTGCGACAGGCGTAACCCATTAACGCAATACGAATTTGTATAGGAATGACATTAGCTCACCCTTTGTCACGTGACCATTTTCATATTTAGTTTATCAATTTAGTTTAGCGTTAGTCACTCCTGTCGCAAAGTGATTTTGCCTCGAGCCCCAGATGTTTTTAAATTCCTCACAGAATATAAAGAACTGAGAATAAATTAAACTGAATCAAAACCAAAACTTTATTTTATTGCATGAAACTCCTACGTCAAGTTATATTCTTTAATATGATAATAGCGCCATCTTCTTAATACTGATAGAAACTGCCTTTGAATCATAAAGAGTTCTTTATAGCTCATAGTGTTGAGTTGGTGGTGAAAAAGAGAATATCGCGGACGCTGCCTCTAGGGGGAAGTTCCAAGGAACCCAAGGTGACGGCGGCCGCACTTCCAGTTCTGAGGCGGGAACCGGTGGAGCTATTTGCGGAACCTTGAATATACAGGGTCACCTAAAAATTAGCATTATCTTCATATAAATTAAAGTAGAAATATATTAAATTTTAAATTCCATATTTGACTTTCTTCTTCTAATTTATTTTCTCTTATCATTGTAATGTTTCCCTTTAAAAGTTGTGCACACTTGTCATTGATGCACATGCATGTATTGTTTTTGTGTTTCGTGTGTTCTCTGTACGTGTTTCTTTAGTGTGCCTTTTTAAAATAAATTAATTTATAAGACCATTTTTGGAAAATAATGGATTATTTAGCTTGTTTAAGAGTATAATGATAAAATTGAGCCTTTATATCTTAACTAACTCTTAATTAAATTTACGCTATAATATAATATGTGCTAGTGAACACACGAGTTTAATACCTATTAAAAAAATATTTTCTAATTTGTAATATTTCAGTGGAAATGAAATTTCAAGTCATCGGAATTCTAAATTAGTCTTACATTTATATTATTTTTATTACCTCTTACTTACAAACAATAGCAGTTAAGCTGATATTTTTTAAATAATTATAACAGAGAAAATAAATTAATTTGGGCATTAGAAAATATTGTATATACTTGTTGTGGCTCATGCGCACTAGGTTCCCCAGAAAGCGGAACCGATCTCGGCTCGCGGATGTCCTTGCGCCTGCGCTTATTTGAACGTCGGCTGTCGTGACGTTTGCGACTCGAGCTATGTGGACCATCTTTAACAATATTTAGACCATTTATTAATTATATTAACGTCTGTTCCACCACAAACGCCTAAGATCCGTTTAGGAAATGATCGACATTTATCTATTGTATTTATTTGGATATCCTATGCTCCCCTACTGTAAATACAGACCGCCAAGACCAGCAGTACTCTGTAAAACAAAAATCTACTTTTTAAATAGTTTTTAATTGGCTAGCACTGACATTCCCTTAGAAACCCTGATCATCATCGAATAACAAACCAGAGTTCGGTGAAGGACTTTCAATATCCGCAACAGTTGCAAACTTGGAATTATGTTATACGGCAACTAAACGTGTTAAAAAGATCGGAGAGCTTAAGAAATAATAGTCTTACAGATTTACGCTGCACTAGTAATTTTACTTTATGGTCCCAGGATAGACCCCTTTTGCCATAACATTTTCGTATTGAAATCAGACCTCCAAGTTAATTTGAAACTAATTAAGTAAAAAATTGTGATAATAATTGCCTTCATGCGCTGGCAGAGGCAAAGCGTGTGTCGGCTTGCGAGTTGCAATAGACTTCCGTTTGTTTTCAATTAAACGTTCCAAGCCTTCCAGAGCAGCTTGTTTAGTCTGTAATATATATGATTTCTTAAGATAGAGCTTTAAATAATGCATTTCTTATAACGCAATATTTAAAGCTCGTAAATACGTTTTTAGCGTTAAAAATAAGATAAAGACGTTGCAAATAATAAATTTTACGGTTATAGTTTTCTTTCGGGTTATAATTTTACTATTAAAATTTTTGCTCCTCTTAGGATAACTACACAATAACAATAGTTCTTTTTTTTAAATACAAATGTATGAAGTGAGAGAAATTGAGAAAAATATCTCTTAAAAAATTTAATTAATTAGTATTTCTGGAATACACATTTCAAGTAACTTAAATAAATTGGTTTACAAAAATATTATTCATTCAGTGTTATTCATATTCCTTTACCACATTACCCGTATTTCGTCCAAGAGTGGTTCAAAATCGCTGACATCAGTGGAGTCACGTACAGCTTCATAATTTTTGTAAAGCTTACGATCATGTTGACGAACGGTACTCTCCAGCTCGCGGATTTCTATATTTAACAATACATATTAATATTTTAAAGGTAACCCTAAACATATGCGCGTTCTAGATGATCAGAGGCGCTACAACTTCTTTAGGTCTGAACCACAGATTTCTGAATCTGTTTCATGGTCATTTTTCAATCTAATAAGCAAGCCTCGCCAGCCTCCTGTGCCTGACACACGCTATCGACGTTTTGGCTCGTTTTTCCTTCACCGTTCGAGCGAATGTTAAATGCAGACATAGAAAGAAAGTTCATTGGTGCACAGCCGGGGTCGAACCTACGACCTCAGGAATGAGTCGCACGCTGAAGCCACTAAGCCAACACTGGTCACTCACTGTTCTAGATGGTTAGGACGCTCTTTTCTTGTTTTTATTAGTAATTGAATTACAATTAAAACTTAGCAATAGTTTTGTTATATGATGATTCGTATTATTCGTGATAAGGCCTCTTGATTCTCAGCATTATCAGTGAAATTGATGTATGTAAGTCACACCCATAGTCTCGGGTGTGACTTCTGATCTTACCTACTCTGATCTAGCTGTTGGTAACATACGTTAAATTACGATTGTAAATTAAGGAAAATTCCTCACCGACTTCCCTCAATTTCGCAAGTTGCGCTACAAGCTGTCCGCGCTCCTGGTGTAAAGCATTCCGCTGCGTTGTAACACGTGCACAAACGTCGCGAGCGTTCTTAGCTTCCCCAGCTAAGGCCGCTACTTCACGGGCCTCGCGTTCTAAGCGACGTTCTAGTTCCCTTTAATTATTCTTAAAGTAATTATTGGGCTTTGTAGCAACAACTCCTATTCGGCTGTATGTACAATAATAACAATAAGACGATGCCACTACATTTCACATTTGGAACGGCTGTCTCCTGTCTTTAGGTCTTCTAATGTTTAAATATATGTAATATGTATCGTATTTTCAACAGAAATTATATATCTTTTGAAATACAACAAATACTGTTGATTTGTAATAAGTTGTGAAATATGGACTCACGCGGGATATTCTCCAGTGACTTGGGCGTACGACTGTATATTTCGTATTACTTCCACGAGGTGATGCAACTGGTTACAGAACTCTGGAAGCTGTTCTGGCGTCAGATACTGACCACCATATCTGTGACATTGTATTATATATAATGGCAAAATCTAGGACAATACATACCTACACAGGTACACTATCGTATTTCTTACAAAACCTTCACGACCTCAATTTATTGCAATCCAATCTTTGGACTGGAATCTCTAATCACTAATGAACTGTTGACTCTTGGTTTTTAAAAGTTAACCAACCGTAAGTCTAGCTTTGCGGCAAACTGCACATCGTCAATGGTAGTGTTAGAGGTGGAAGCCTGAGTGCTGGTAGTATCCATTTCTTCCTCTGTACCGCTGGCACAACACACCGTTTCACTTATACTGGAATTACATTTTACGTCATAGGTCAATTAATTAATTTTTGCACTAAGTGAGTTGAACAAATCAGCACAATCAGAATTAATTTACATTGTAAGGGGCGATCATCACTTTCGAGCGATCTCGTTCCAAGAAAAAAATAAATAAGAAAAACATACAAACCTGCATATAGTATAACTTAATTAAAACAGACAAAGTAACATGGGTATCATAACTTAAGTAGGTACAAATAATTAATGCAATTGTTTTATCACGGAAAGGGCAGTGCACTTGAATACATAGTTTATTATTTTATTAGACAGTAGTGCATTAACAAGCACTCTGGTAATTGTGTCTTAGGGCGGCAAGCTCCACATCAGTCTAATGTATGACGTACGTAAAATTTAATGGCGTAGTATAAACATGATAGAATTTTGTAGAACTTGAGCAGACGTTGACAAATTTGGAACTTTTCATCATGCCTAAATCGTTCGTTTGGAATCCAGGAGTACGAAATTTATGCATTCGAACTGTCTAAAACATACATCGTATTGGCGTATACAGCATAGGAGTAATGAATACTTGAAGAAACTATCGCGAAAGCCGCACTAAGGGCACTAGTGAATTTGCTGCAAAATATACGAACCCAGTGGAACAAAATGAGAAATTCTTGTCCAGCGTTCGGTGTTCGCCGCGCAGCTTGCCAAGCAATCGACCTAGCAATCGCGATTGCTTCCCTCCGCCCTCCATCCGTTCTTTTAATCCGGCCAATGTGTCTAAAATTGGCGTTATTTTATAAAACAACACCCCTGGTTCTGTAAAACCCTCAGCACGATATGTTTACACTTAAGTATTTGCCAAAAAATAGCTCTATCTGCGTTTAAAGCTAAAGCTTAAATTATAATTTAAGGTCTGATGATTATCGGCGTCAACATCGTATATCAGCGTCTGACAAAACATCAGAGATTATCCACTTATCCAGAGGCCCTAAAATCACTTAAATCTAGGTCATTCTAGGAAGATAAAACAAGACATTAATAAAAAACGATGTTTATAGAATAAACAAGAACATAATTGATATAATAAATGAAAACTTACATATTGTTGAGAGGTTCTATGGCTAATACTACGAATTAGACGCTTTATTTCTAGATTTTCGCATTTTATGTTATTTTAAACACATTTTTTATTTCTGTGCGTCGGATGTTCGACTGCAAAGACTGACAATAGTGCACTTGACAGTAGTGACATATATTTCGTTTTTTAAACAAGGAGTTTACAAATAATCTGCGAAAAAACAGCATCATTATCGTAAATAAATTAAAGGGGTTTTCAAATTAAACATTAGCTTAAATTTATAGCATTTAATTGATATAAAAATACAATTATAGTTAAAAATCATTAATATACATAATCGCATTGCCGTTTTGCGTTAAAACATAATTTTAAGTACAGTCCTGAAAGATCAGTCGGTTATTAATATTAACAGTTAGACGAAGTTAGTTTGCTAAAAAAACCGTAAATACTGTATAATTGGAATATGAACCTGGACTAACCCGGACAATATTGAATACCTATAAAATACCTTAATCCTAAGAAATTTTGTGACTACAGTATACAAGTCTTGAGTTGGCAATTGCCTTTGACACAAGCGAAAGAGTTAAAATATAAGATTAAAATCATCGTATGTAACGTATATAGAGTAAACAAAGGAGGATTTACAAAGCTGACAAAGCGCGGGACCAAAATCCAGCAGATGCGTAAGTTAGCCTATCCCACACTACTAAAAACCCACAGCCCATTTGAGAGGCTTATCATACACTTAAATGCCTTCGACATACATAAGCTGCCAAATTTGAGGGTAGACGAAACAACTTATTGAAATACCCTCAATAACTCAACAATGTAAATGACAACATATTTTTAAATTTGAAACAAACAATTTGCAGGATTTAGGCGCGCACGCACTAAGCGTAAAAATTTATTTACCCAGTAGCCCTAATCTACAAGTTAGCTTAAAATTTGACAGCTTCACAATCAAACAATAGACGAGATAGACAACATAAAACTAAGGCACATTGCGCGGTCCCAGCGTTCTCAGCATTTACCAAAGGCCTGAAGAAAAGCCGCCGGGGGGAACGCGGACTCTTTTAGGGGGTTCAGCTTTAGTCTGTTCAGTAGGGGTCACCGCTGGAGTAGCAGGCTTCGATGCCGTGGCTGGGTTAGCAACAACAGGTTCAGCAACCACAACAGGTTCAGTTGCCAGACCAGGTTCGAATTGTGCAGGTTGTGGCGCTGCAGGTTGAGGCACTTCAGGCTGTGGTGCGGGTTCCGAAGTTACGGAAGCTCCGTTTTGGGTTGGAGTTTGAGCACCTATTATTGATTTAGTATCGTCACCGTGACCTGAAAGATACGATAGAAACTTATGAATTTTTTAAAAATAATTGTTATAATTTAAAAAAATATATAAAATTCATCCTACCACCATCCATAAAAGAAAAGCATGTATCTGGGATTCACAGACAAGTTAAAGTGTAAACTAATACTCCAACTGTCATCAGTTGCATAAACAGAGACAGTTGGAGAATTACTTCACACTTTAACTGATTTATTTATCTTAGCCTTAAAAGAAAAATAATAGATTGTTGTACCAAACATAGCACCAGAGGCAGCAGGAACCAGACGTCTTCCTCGTGGAGGTTCAGGCTCCCCGCTAAAGATGTCTGTGTGCCCACCGCCTGGAGGGCGTAGTACCCGACTAGACACCCTTGTACCCTCACCAATACCAACGTTGATCGATGTTGAAGTCATTTTTAATACTGAAATTATAAAACAATCGTAACTAGTATTAAATTCAGTAAATATTAACAAAAAATTAAAGCTTCTACTTAGTTGAGGCACTATTACGTAATAAGTTAGTAGTATTCACTTTACGGGAACCAACTGTTATTGTAGGTGTCTATGAGCGGCGGCTTAACCTCTTCTATGTCAAGTGTTATATTACTAGGTAGGATAATATAAATATCAATTAACTTTTTTGCGAATTCATTTATGAGTTCTGAATAAAAGACAAAGAAACACTAGGTTAGAATGGAAATCAATTCGTTTGTAGTAAGTTGTAATAAAAAATAATATATAACAAACGTAGATAAAGTAAATATAGTAAAATCTTCATAGTTAATATGTTTTATCGTCAGAATACGTACATTGACCTCTGAAATGCAAAGCCGGTTCTATTTGCTTTTTTTCTTCAAAAATAAAATGCACATTTCTCAGAACTATTTGCGGTTATTTTAACAATAATGAGCGTGTCGAGCAACGACAATACTGTTGGAAATTGCTATTTCCGAATAAAACATATTATCGAGAAAACAATCTACCGTCTCTTTCTTAAATAGAATACATTTTATTACGTTTGCCACATTCAATATGGCTCCAATGCTATGTGCGCAAGAACGGTAAGGCACAAATGAAACAATATAATACCACCAGTCATAGAAAGTCCATTATCGGCAGAAATGCGCACTTCCTTTTGTATGATAACAATAGCGCATAATAATTTATATCTTTGTATTTTGGACAAACTGTGATAAAGAAAATTAATTATTTTTTAAACTATGAAACTAGAAGGTGAAGACAATTATTTCGTTATGAATAAGAAAAACCCCTTTTATTCAGTTCAATCCGTATTCTAGCGGTGTTATATAAACCTATATTATATAATTTGGCTATAGAATTAATATTATTAGTACATACAGTAAAGGTACAGAACCCCTATGTATGTAGGAGTACCAATGTGTGTATATATGTAATTTAATATGATTTATATGAGCGTAATCAACACTTGGTTGTTTCGGTGAAGGCCACCATTCGGCATATCTTAGACACAAAAATCTGCAACATGTGTCAGGCTAAAGGAAGTATCTCTATAGGCTATTATATACGTATACCAGTTTGGAATATCTAACTATTATCATGTAGTAGCCAGTGAAAATAATGAATAGGCCTAGTATGCGAATAAAGGTTAACGAGTAGCTTCCTTATTATCGTGATACCGTTATTTAGTATGAAAATCTAAGCTAGGTGCCTTTTATTGCGAATGAATTATTTCCGCGACATTGCGAAGACGATAAAAATCCCGTTACTCATAGCATAATGAGAAAAGTGACTGTGCTCTTATTGTGAGTCAATGATTCTTGAATGGCTTACATTTACAAACATACGATCTTTGGTAGCGGTTCATTGTAGATAAAGTTATGACTCACATAATTCAACAATAATTATTATTTCTTGGTAAAATAGTGTAGCCGCTGTATCCAAAATCATTACGATTTAAAGTAATTATAACTACAACTCGTATTTTTTACATATGATTCGATTTCGTCGTTCTGTCGAATGTCTTACACGAGAAATTAATTGAAGACATGATAAAGGTCTATCATGAGGGCTTTAAATAATTACAATAATTTGAATGTATTGTTGAAGACTAGATTATGACCTAGTTACACTTAGAACGAACTATAATTCGGCCTTAACTGTCATTAGACAAAATCAATAAACGGATATGTAATTTAATTTGATTCATGTTGTAATTATAAGCTACATAAACGCGATGTGGGCGATGTTACCAGTAATAAGGTTATCCTAGCAAATTGCTAAATATTGACTCAATTTTATTGGCGTAATATTATCCGAGTGAAACAAATTAGAGCGAAACGATCGACAGACGTTACTTTTATGCGGTTTCAATCCATATTGAGTTACATTGATTCAGTTCCTATATTCTATAATTAAATGGATTTCCGTACATTCATAATGTATGAAAACTGTACTACGTCAAATTTCCTTTACACTTTCGAAAAATACCGTTCCATATCGGGCTTACAGTTAGGTTAAAAGAGAAAGGCTTGATTAAAATCTTAAGAGTGCGTAGGAGTCGTCTGCAAAATTATGGCACCAAAATGAGTATGCATTAGGTAACCATATTACTTTTTGTGGGTACAATTTTGAAAATAATAGCTAAAATAAATTTGTGTTGTGAAAGAAGCACCAACAAGTGAAATTGTTAGCTTTACTTACATCCCTCTCGGCTAATGGTTAAACCAAACCTCGATAGGACCCTCACATGCTCCCTTCCTACATCTACCCTCATTATATTAACTACACAATAATTTTCTATAATATTAATGAATAGGTAAATTTTCTTAAATGCTAAAACGTTTCACATTTAGTACATATAATTTGCTTAAATTTTTTTTTAAGTCTATCTCTTGATCTACCTTAGTGTGCCAAAAAGTAATCTGTCAGCAGGCTTTAACAATTAGATATCGCATAATATCCCACCAGGATATATCCGTATACAGAAAGCGGATATAAAAAAAGGGCAGTGATGGTCAAACTGGTCTAGACGAAGCCTAAACAGTAACATCGGCACAAGGACGAACGCATATCATATTACCGTATGGGGAAACAAGTTTGTAACAAATTACGCTGAAAGTGGAATGTGAATTTATTTGTAACACCTTATCTATATCTTGCTCATACATATTTAACATTTTCTCTATACAATGGCCAATATTATAACAGTCAAAGAAAGGTAAAAAGAGATACGTTTGATAAGCAATAAGCAGAAAACTTGAACGAGACTAAAATCAATTGAAGTGGGTATTGCTCACGATGCTCTCAGAGTTGCAGAGCCTGGTGTGGATTTAGTACCGGTGCGTGTAACTAGTTAGGTTAGGTGCGTGTGACTAGTTAGATGATTATGAAACAGTAACCAGTAAGTAATAATTACTCTATTATCATAATAAACCGGACAATTATGATAAATTCTGTCTTTTTGATGTCGATGCCTACCCGTAATCAAACGTTTTCATCAATAATTTTTATGAGTCATAGTTGTACTAAGTAGATGCAGCACACATCACATACAGGAAACCTTAAAGATATCTTGTTTTAATTAGACTGATCAGGTGGTCTAAGTATACGCCATCGAGTCAGTGCGATAACTAGAAACTTATCAGCCTTGAAAGTGCAATGCACTTCCTATAATATCTATTCTTGTTGTTCTTCTATTTACTTAACCAGTCTTGCATTGCAAATTCCAACGAAACTTGAGTATTTACCTTGAAATCCTCTTTATCCTCATAAGGTTTTGAAATTGCAAACGAACGATCGAAAACCGACAAATCAAAATTTATTTATATTAATAAAACTTTTACATTTACTACAACTTTATTAATAGACTCACGCTCAATCACGTCACCTGACCTCTATCAATATAACAGATTAGCCAGTTTTGGCTTAATATTATATACAATGTGTTATGATGATATTATTATTCACGCAAAACTAGAAGAAATATTCCCAAAATATAAATTTTATCCCTTTTATTGTTTATTACGTATAAGACTTTACATCTTAAGGATGCTATAGAAATAAAAAATAAAAAATTGCCAATTCATATCCGTTCATTACCTTTCGATTCGAGAAGGGGCAGTTAATGTAGTTTTGTAACATAGTGGGTCTAATATAAAATATTAGCCTTTTAATTAGGTATCTATAAAAATACACTTTACTTCTACTGAAACCATATAATGATTCAATACAATGAGAGCAAAATATCGATTTTTTAATCGTCAGTTGGGGTGGGTTTTTGTCAAGCAAAAATTACAACTAGTTATTACTGGAAAAACCTTGAAATGACTAATCGTCCTCCCTATAGGCCAATAGTCATTAAAATGTACGACGTCGTAGTAACAATACACCGAATAATAAATACCATAATAATATGTCTGGTTTTGTAAGCCACAGTTAAGGAAATACATTGGATTATACCGATACCTCCTAAGTATACTGAGTCAACTGACATTTTAGTAATTTTATAGGAGAGCCATTTTAAGGCAAATTGTTTATATTTTAATGAAATCAAACTAATTCGGAATAAATTAAATGTTTTTTTAATAAAGATTGAAAGCTCTTCCTTTGGTATAACATGATTTTGCTGAATTTTGTTTTTAAATTATATTTTATGTACATGACTCATTATACACGGGCGGGCCTGAATAGTAAAATGGTTTAACTACCAGTTATATTCATGTACGTTGTACATGAAAATCCATGACTTACTCGAAAATATTACGAAATATGATAATCATTTTATTAATATCATACTACTTTTGGTTATTTTCGATTTTTTTTGTCCCACTTAATAATAAAATGTTGAAATTACATCACTTGACTCATTATACTAGGAAAGTACTTACCTATGTTAGTAGTTAAAACCTCAACGTATACTGGACTAATATAATTAATCGAGGCTTTTTAATTACTCATTTTAGGTATTTCGAATACCTCACGAAATTAATAAAGGTTAGGAAGAAGTAGTCTCATTTAACAAAACAACACATTTAAAGAATCACAATGTATTTTTCGTTTATACTAAGTAGGACCCGTTTTTGTAGTTTTTGTATCCGACCCGTTTTTGTATCATGAAAGTTTCTTGAAAAGTAACAAACATCAATAAAAATAATAGAAACTAAAAATGGTAACTTACGTTAAACAATATTAATAAAAATAATAGATATGAATAATATAAATATCTAAAAATCTAGGAAATTCTAACGCTCAAAAAATTTCTATAAGGTTAAACAAAATAAATAAAAATATTAAAGGTTGAACGAATCAAAAATCAGTCTGAATCACTATCTTCTGCTCCATTAGAGTTATTTAGATAGATAGATAGATCCATCATTAGTAGTTGTCCAGTTGTTTATAAGTTTTGACTTTGATTTGAAGTCCTTTATTAAATC